AATAAAATAGGGGTGGTTCCAATTTTTTATGGCGCACAATATTACCATAAAGGTCTAGTAAATTAAATATTTCAGTAAAAAACACAATAAAGTGAATTTTAGGATAATCAAATGCAAAAAATTAGAACAAAATTTTTTGTACAATATAAAAAGACAGGGTTGCACCGAGTAAATAGATACCAAACATGTAAAACCTTAAATTTGTGTACACCAGTGCAATAGCGACAACTTCAGTTCCCTATATTTTCTATAGGTGATTCTTCAAAAGCCTCCTATAGGTCACAGGTTTAGTGTTATGGAGGACATCTGGTGCTATAATTATTTCTCTCACTCCGGCATGTGTGGCGATATGTAACATGTGTATCAGAATCAACATTTTCATGCGCATGCGCTCCTGACGCATACATTTACGTTCATATGTGGGGGTGTGGGCCTCAATTTTGTTGGGAAGATTTTATGTGCCTTGGTGTAAGTTTTTTTTTTTTTTTTCCTTTCTTCATAACGAAATAGTGCTAAAGTCAAAAAGTCCCCTATGTTGTGGATTTTGCTGACAGGTTCTCTTTAATGAGACATACAGGGTCTAAAAGACTCTGCATGTCTTCACTGGGTTCCACTCAATATATTGCAATGCCAATTGCATTGCTTCTCAGCTGTGCTAGCCATGAAAGTGACAGGGGTGACCAAGACGTGATGTCATACACATTATTTCTGGGTTACAGGAAGAAGGAGGTGGAAAGTGGATGTGTGTCTGCTCTCCTCCTACCTGCCATTTCAGACCAGGGCCTGCAGGTGAGCAAGCGGAGCCTGGAATACATGGTGGGGCATGCACAGCTGGTAGCTGAATGTAAACAAAAGAATCCCAGCATTAAATGTTTTTAAATTATTTCAAATTAAAAAAAAACAGGCCCTCCGCCATACCAGGCTCTTTGGGTCTGGATCGAATCAGTGGGAGTCTGATCTTATCTATCTGTGCAGGAGAAAGGTTTTTTGGATTTTTTGTTTACAGACCTGTATCCCTCAAGGTTTAAACTTTGAATGGGATGTTACTCATTTTTATGAGTGGTAACTGATAATATAAAAAGGTAAATCATTATGTTACTCTCTCCTGCATGGCAAAAAAAGATGAAACATTTTTCAGTTTTGTTTTCTGTATTCTTTGTATATGGGGAGGTTTAATTTATATAAGGAATTTTTGAAGCTTATTTGTGAGTAGCCTCTTCCTATACAATCATATGTAGAGGTTTTTGATTGTGACCAGAAATTCATTTATGAGTGGTTTTATATATTTTGATTGTGGTGTTTTTGTGTAGTATTATTTATGTAGTATTCATGCTGTTTTGTATATACTTGTAACACTCCCGCTGATGGTTCATTTAAGATCGTTTTGGGATCTAATCAGTGAAAGGATAAGTATCCTTGATTGTGGTTAGCTGTCAGTTTGATTATTTAGCTATTGCACAACCAGGATAGACTAGTTATGACTAAGCACGTTTTTGAGTTAAAAACACATTAACTTTTCCTTGTCCTCATACTGGAGTTGTGATCTTTGCGGTGTTTACATGAAGATTCAATAAATGGAAGTTTTATCTGATACATCTATGGAGTGCGGTCAACCCTCATTGCTTTCATATTGTGCCGCAGCCACGGTTCGGACCAGCACCTGCTGATGTTCATAGGGGCGTATGGTTTACCCACTCACCTGGAGTAGTTTATTCATTTTCTTTCACATTGTGTGGATTTGGTCCCTGGACATGTGCCTTCCTGTGAGAACTGCCGAACTACTAATTTTAGCCTGACTTCTTGACTATGCTTCCACCTGATGATTCTGCATTCCTCTGCCAGTCTGTGTATGACCTCTGCCTGCCCCTGACTTCTCTTATGGATACTGATTTTGTGTCTTCTGCCAGAATTGTTGCTGGCCTGGCCTGGCCTGGCCTGCCTGACTATGCTAACATTTCAGCACTCGTTGTAAGCTCCACTTTGGACTTTATCTTACAACAGGTACCCTACAGTGTGTTTGCATGGTTTTTTACCTCAGAACTTGTGCCAGTGGTATGGGCCTCTTAGAGTCTGTTGGGTATGGAGCCATCTCACAGCATGTACAGGCAATGACCCTGCTTATTTTTATTTTAACTGTTAACGTTAATGAAAATAATAGCTGTTGCTACTAATATAAATGGCCCTGTTTGGACACTTTGTGTTGTAAGGTAAAAACGCTCTTCACCAGTTTTCCATAATCTCTTGCCTGTAACTTACCCTCTTCCAAAAGAAATTTTAGGCTCTGATGCACATTCCCCATGCATAATCTTCCACTGCCATTGTGATTGATGAAAATCTGTATTGCTGGATGACATAAATGGGAAGGATTTGGATTTTTTTTTTTTTTTTAAAAAGAAAAAAAAAGTGTAGTGTCCTCATTTCCTGCCTATGTTTTGTGACTTGGTAGGAGGACTATGTTCCCCTTACTCATTCACATGGAGGGCAATATTTGGGCTCCCTTATTGTTCAGGGAGACTTTCAGATTCCATTCAGCCCTAGCCTACAGACCCCCACAACCACCAGGCAAGGATTGAGGGGAATATACCCTTGTCTTCATTAATATCGAGACTTGGTGCTTTTTCAGGGGGGTTCCCTGTGGCAAGGTACCCTAGTATTTTGAGGACATGTAGCCTGGTGGGGGGGGGGGGGGCATGCCCCTCTCCAATTTTCCAAACCAGTCAGGCTGCATGCTCCAAAAAGGCGTGGATTTGTGGGGAAGGAACTTTTATTTTTTGCATGGGGTTTCCAATTGAAATCCAAACCTGAAGGCATTGGTATCAATTTTAGGGGGACCACCACAGTTTTTTTTTAAACTATCCCTTTTTTTACACTTACCTTTTAGTCGGAAATCTCTGGCTGACAGCTGAATATCCCTAGTCACTGCTCAATAGGACACCAGTGGGGGACAGCTTCCTAACAACCAGGAGTCCTGAGGAAGAAGCTGTCATATTTAGTAGCAGTAAAATTACTGCTGTTAAAGTTTACACTGCAGCTGGAAGTTTGCTCAGCTGAATAACCATTTGGCTGTTCACATAGGAGTCTTCACAGACTGTGTACACAGTGCAGAGTTCTTGATAATATTTCCACTTCTGGTCGAATGTTCTTAGCCTCTAGTGTTAAGCAATTTTTTTGTGTTTGTCAAATGTTCTTTAACTCATTTGGCCAAATGTTCTTCTGGCTATTTTCCCTTAGGATAACATGTTAAAAAGTGTTACATTCACCTGGGGAAAGGCAGCAAAAAGAAACTGACATTACACACATAACGCAAAACATTATGGGTATTATTTGTTACTTTTGCACAAATGATACATTCTTAAAAAATTATTGTAAACCTACAGAATTTATTTTTTAAAACAACAAACATGTCATACTACAGAGGTCCCCTGTCAATGCTCCAGGCTCTTCCCCTTTGCTGAGTGCCCACATAGCAGGCAGCTTACTATGGTGGCACTCATGGCAGCTCAATCCTGCCCCTCCTCATTAACTGTGATTGACTTCAGCAGAAGCCAATGGCTCCCACTGCTGTCTCTGAGCCTATGAGGAGGGAGAGAGCAAACACAGCCTCTACTCTCTTGCACAGCACTGAATCAAGATAGGGCTCAGGTAAGCATGGGGAGGTTGAGGGGAGAGCAGAATATAGGTTTTTTACATAAATGCATTAAGGTCAAAAACCTTCTATCTTTACAACCACTTTAAAGCAAATTTTTGATTTGGAAAAAAATTCCCCCCCAAAAAAATTCTGCATATCAAAACATCATTGTAGATGTGTAATATAGTGTAGCTGTGTGACATAGCGAAAAGGGCATAATGGTACATTGGAGTCTGAATGAATTGTAATTATTCAAGCACCAATATTCACCACAGCCCTATAAATTATTCTTACTGTGTCATATCTGTAACTTCAAATTCATAGCATTTTAACACACAAGCAGAATTTTAAGAAATCAACATTCCAATACTTACATTCATTTTGTCGCCATGTTTTGCACTAAATTCCATTAAGACTTATAAACAAAGGAATATACACAAAGGAAACACTGGCCTTGTATAGTTTGATCTGTAAAACAGGCAAGATTAATTAAGTTGCTTTTCTTACCTGGCTTTGAGTCTTACGTGCATTATAGGAAACTAAAATTTCAATTGTAACATTCTTCCCTTTTATGCAAGATTCAATACATGACACTAGGTAAACCTTTCTGTAAAAGTCAAAGCATTTGATATTTTTTAGCATTTCAAAGTGTTTCTCATTTATTCAATGCTCTAAATAAAAAAAAACGAAAATACAGTTATGTAATATACTGTAGATGCAAAATTGTACTTCTGCATGCAAAAATAATAAGCTTATATTGAAGTAATACATTATATGAATGTTTTTAACCTTTTATCCTGAACCTCCTCATGCCAACTTACTAGGTGTCAGCTTATAGAGAAACAGGGGAGAGAAGCACCAAGCAGCCTTTCCAGGATAGTAAGCCAGCTTACTGTAACAAAATAAAACCTATCATAGTGGTAATCAGTCCTGGATTGATAGGTGCGAATGGATGAGCCTGCTTGCTGCAGCTCTGGGAAGAAACCACTAGAGCAGTCACTGATGTGAGAGAGCCATGAGCTGTTGAGCGCGGGAGTACTGACCTGTTGAGATTCACTGCCTTTGGATGGAATCACCTCTACTGTGGAATGCTGTTATTAGCAAAGGATTATGGGACAAATTTCACAGGACTCTATGCCTTCTTCATCAGCCTGAGCTACATGCTAACATCTGGGGTTTAACCGCTCCCCTACCAGCGCTACAGGGCAGCAGGGCTGTGCAAAATCATGTATGTGTGTGTGTGTGTAAATATATATATATATATATATATATATATATATATATATAGATAGATATGTGTGATTTTGCATTTCTGGGTAGGGGGTGCTCACACACCACCCTACCCACACCACCATTGGAAGCTACAGTTGTCAATCACCAGGCCCCGGTGTGGAACACTGACAGGGGAGAGTTCTGTATGTAAACAATACAGATCTCTCCCCTGTCAGCATCATGCTGCTTTGTATTGCTCTCCATAGCACAGCAATGCAAAGCAGCATACTTAACTGGTAAAAAACACACAGCACAGTTAATAAAACAGCACACAGTTAACCCTTTGATCGCCCCAGATGTTAACCCCTTCGTGCCTAGTGTCATTAGTACAATGTCAGTGCTTTTTATTAGCACTGATCACTGTATTAGTGTTACTGGGGATGTCAGTGGCAGTTAGTTCTCCCCCAGTGTCAGAATGCCCACCGCAGTCCCGTTGTAAGTCGCTGATTGCCGCAGTTACTAGTATAAAAAAATTTCAGTATATACTGTATACCGCCATTTCTAGGCGCTATAACTTTCACATAAACCAATTTATTTATACGTATTGGGATTTTTTTTAGCACAGACATAATCCGTTTTGGACTTAATTTAAGACAAAATTAGATTTTTTTCAATCCTTTTACTGGATATATTTTATAGCAAAAAGTAAAAAAAATTGTGATAAAAAATAAATCCATTTAGATAAAACAACAATATAAATTATTTTTAAAAATTTACATAATGTTTCTTTTTTTTGGGGGGGGGTGTAAATATGAACTGAAATAATTACTAAAATTATAAATGGATTTAAAAGAAAGAAATAATCAAACACTACCAATCATTCAATGGTGCTAGACCAGCTAAATAAAATACTTCATGATGAAAATGGAGTATTGGCAAAAATAATATGAAATTCATAATTAATAATAATCATAACTATTAATAATTAACATGCAAATAATAGTAATGTAGAAAGAATACATATGAATAAATTAATTAATATACTTGATGGAATTATATCAAAATAAATATTTGTTTAAATGTTTAGGAAGCAACTGGATGAATCAATAAATTTGGTGTACACTAATATATAATAAAAATATAAAATTCGTAATAATAATCCTGTAAGTAATAGCAATGCAAAAATAATACATGTGAATGAAATAAATATACTTTATTGGATCAAAATAAGTGTGGAATTTTTAAGCAACAAATAAATGAATAATTAGATCTTGTATACACCAATATATGAGAAACCATAAGAGAAAAATAAAAAAATGAAAAATTTAAAAAATGTTTTTGTTTGGGGAAAAAAGAAAACCTATAGCTAATGATATAGTTAACAGTATTTGCTCTACAAGCCACAGCTACATGCAAATCTACAGAGAATCTGCCCACATGTGTATATCTAAGGGCCCCTCTCCCCCTTCTTTAGGCTGCCTCCTAAATTCAATCCTCATTTCCCCAAAAGGCCCATACGTAGAGACGAGACTTGGTGTACAAAGATATGGAAACACTCTGTCAACATACTAAGAAGAAGAGCAATTTGTCCCCTCAGGAGCTCCCAGTCCTAAAAGATCTACAGGCTGATCTTCATATCATCATCAGATGGGCTGGCAAAGGGGCGGTGTTGTCATCCAATACAGGGTGGTTTACATGAAGGAGGCAGACTGTCTACTTTCAGACAGCGCTACCTACCCATGGCTCAAATGCAATACGTTGCCCACATACAAATTGAAATTGGGAAACTTGGTGGAGGAAGTGGCAATGGAAGGTAATATTAAATCCCAGTGAGAAATTGTTCCTCCTTCCTGGGTTCTTTTTTACCCTATATTTTTATCACCTGCCAAACGGTCCACAAGGACCTCCACAACCCACCAAACAGGCAAATAGTGGCTTCTATTGATACTCTTACGCAATTTATCCAACTATGTGCACAGTTTCTTACAGCCCTATTATTCAAAATCTTCCAGCTTATATTAGAGACTCCCGCTTACTGGAAACTCTTGAACACTATAGATGGGAAGAGGGTTATTATTGGGTGTCTCTGGATGTTGCATTTTCTATAACTTTAATATATACGTCATGACAGAGGTCTTCTGGCTGTCCACTTTTGGGGCGAAAGAGGGAGAATTAAATGCTTGCCAGGCAAATTTTGTGATCAAATTTTGAGTTCATTGTACATCACAACTATTTTGAGTTTGCTCAAAACTACTTTTTTTCAGATATAAGGTACAGCCATGGCTGCCAGTTTTGCAAAGGGTTATGATGCAGAGTCCATTGAACAAACCATCTGTAAATACCAGTCATATTCTTGCCTCCACTCCTAGCAAACAAACATAACCATCCTGGTGACTATTCCAACTTTTTTTACATTCAAGGCATGTTCCAATGTTTTCCAAGAAAAAATGTTTAACATATTCCCACGATCAACATGGGCAAAAACAATTCAACAACAAAGAAGGCCGCATCTACCCAATTGAAGAATTTTTAAGGTGTTCTCATTTTGTTTATCTAATTACCTGTCCTTGCAACCTTGAGTAGGTGGGACACACTATTAGGAACTTACTCACTAGCTTTGATGAGCATAAAAGAAAATGTCAAAAACAATGCCCCTCAATATATCATCCAAACATTTCACCAAATATCACAGTGGCAACTCATCTATACTCAAAGTCACAGCAACACAATCAAATTCAGCTACACTTGACAAGGGGCCAAATATATATTTAAAAAAAAGGGTATGCCCAGGAAATGTATTGTAGTTTTAAACTGAGTAGCCTCAAGCCAGGAGGCCTAAGTGAGGAGTTGGAGGTACATACATTCCTCTGACCCCATTAGTTTTTCTTGTACATTTGTTATACTTTTACATATAGTTATATTTTTAGCTGTTGGTTTCCTTCTTATGGCATGCAGTATGAATGTAGTAGAATGTTAGTATCTAGTCAGCTTTTTTTTTATTGGTGCTCTATCCCTATTATTTTCTATTCTACCAAATCATTTTTTCACCGTCACAGCTTACTTTGTGGTATCAAAAATCCATTATGGTTATTTTGCACCTTATTTTTATGAGCTTTCCCTTAGCTTTTTTCCCCCTTCCTCCTCTCCCAACCTCCCTCCCCTCCTTTCTTTAATTCTACACCCCCCTTTCCATCAAATATTCATAAGTTCTTGATAGGTCTTGTGGTGAAAATAGGGGGGGGGGGGCACTCAGATATACACATGTGGGCAGATTTCTCTAATGGGTTTCTCTAATGGCTTTAAGCATGTGCACACTTACATGCAGGGGTGCATGCATGTAGTTGTGGCTTGTTGAGTGAATACTGTTAATGATATCATTTACTATATGTTTTTCTTTTTTCCCAAATACATTTTTTTAATTTTTTTTTTTTTCTCGTTGCACTTATGGTCTCTGATATATTGGCATATACCAGATCTATTTATTCATATATTGGTGTATGCCAGAACAATTTATTAATTTATCTGCTTCTTAAAAATTCCACACTTATTTTGATATAATTCCATCAAGTATATTATTTTTTTCATTCATATTTATTATTTTTGCATTACTATTACTTACAGGATTATTATTACTACGGATTAATTTTATATTATTATATTATATATTGGTGTACACCAGATTTATTGATTTATCCATTTGCTTCTTATTAAAACTCCATATTTATTAGATTGTCAGTTATAGAAAGAGTCTGCTTCATCCGACACAGGTCCTGGAATATGTAGGACTCTATTCAATTTCAGTTCAGGACAAGTCTTTGTTTCACAAAGATTCTGGACTTGCACCACAGGACAAAAAGTGGTGTTGACTCAGACCTTCCTTCCAGTGAGGAATTACTTCCTACAATTTCTTGCCTTCTAGCCTTCACCATCCCTGTGATTCTATGGGCCAGGTGGAGAAGAAGTGAAGGTTGGTTATTTTTACTTTGCCAATGAGGGCATCATTCATTAGTTCAGAAGTTTTCTATTCAGTACCAGAAGCCTAATCTTTCAGTTGGTGATTGGTCTCTCGCCAGCAGGCCTTGTTCATTTTTATATCCAGCCTCCATGCCAGTCTGTTGAGCTGGGGGAGGGGCATTGCATAGATTAACCAAATCTAAGGTCAATAAAGATAGGTTCCTAGAGCTAGTTCCAATCTTTTGAAACTAAAGGCAGTCCTACAGGTTCTCATGTCATTGCAGTTGCTAAAACAAGGTCAGTCAGAGAATCTCTTTTGGGCACCAAGACCATGATGGTTTACTTGGCCCACAGGATGAAACCAAGAGAGTTTTCCATTTCTGAAGATACCATGCCAAAGTTTACCTTGGGAGACAAAAATGTCCAGTCCTTTACAGCTTTATATTTTGTGGGGACACAGGATGTGGTGGCAGATTGGAGAAGCAGACGTTTTTATAAATCAGAATGAGTGGACTCTCTATTCAAGGTTCCTATGGAAGATCTTTAGCCTAGGGGGTACGCTGCTGTTCTTCGGTTTCGTGGAATCAACGGTGTATGCTTGGCTTTCTCTCTACAACACCTTTCAGGATTTGCAGGCCCTAGGCCAAGAAGACCTGTATAAAACCATGGTGTTTCCAACTGGTGTATGTTTTTCCTCTGATTCCCTTAATTTATTATTATTATTATTCAGGATTTATATAGCGTCAACAGTTTGCTCAGCGCTTTACAATATAATCAGCGCTTTACAATATATCAATCTGATTCTCAAGGTGCAACAGCAAACAATCCACATGATAGTAATTCTGCCTTGTTTTCCCCTGTTTTGGAGAATGAAGTTGGGACCACTAATTCCATTATCGAGATCTGTTAGTCCAGAAGGGTTCTTTTCAGCCAAATCTCAAGAGACTGAAATTTATGGCCTGAAGGTTGGAAGGAGGCATTGGATGTAATATACTTTCCTAGAGGTAATAATTAAGATCTTTTTGCAGCTCATAAATATTCAACCAGTTCAACTTGTACTTGTATGTGGAATGCTTTTTTTATGTAAATCTTTGCAACAGAGTTGGATTTCTCCTTCATCCTCAGTATTAAATATTCTGAAGTTTCTGTAAGGCCGTTAGAAGTGAAACATTGCATACAGTACACTGTGTTAGAATTCAGTTTTCTGCTCTATTAGCAATGACAAAAGGAAAATGGGCCACCCATCCTCTAGTTATATGTTTTTTGAAGGCCGCAATGAAGACTTGACCACTGGTTATATTTTTTTTTCAAATTGTGATTTTTGATTAGTCCTAAAGAACCTGTTATAGCCTCCTTTTGATTTAGTTGCTCCTATTCTTTGGTCCATCTACCCTTAAGAACAGTTTTCCTTGGTATAGTTGTTTCTCCAGAAGAGTGTTAGAATTATGTGGGGTTTATTTTCTGTTTTAGTACTACTGCCTGGAGACTTGAATAGAGTGTAACTTTGTATGTTCTCATTACATTAAAGAATACAAAAAATGTAAA